CTCAAAGTAAAGAGAGAAGGAGGAACGCGGCGATGTTTTGTCGAGGTATCGGAGAGTCGCCACTCCCCACTAGTCCTCGTTGGAGCACCAGCGCAAGGGTGTAGCTCCCCCTTGATCCGCGCAAGGATCAAGTGCTCTCTACGGGTTGATTCTTTGACACTCTGCCTCGGTGAATCACTCACAACCGCTCACAACTTGAGTTGGGTCATCCACAAGCTCCGCCGAATGATCACCAAGCTCCCAATCACCACCAAGCCGTCTAGGTGATGGCGATCACCAAGAGTAACAAGCATGAACTCTCACTTGACCACAGCAAGCCTAATGAGAAGGGTGGATGCACACTTTGCTACTCTTGATCTCACTAATGAGGGCTCTCTTTGGGATTCTCAAATCTCAATCACCTCACCAGGACCTTGCTCTTCTTGGCACTCTCAAAGGTGTTTCTCAGCTGTTGGAATGAGCAAAAGTACCCCCACACACGAGTGGAGGAAATCTTTATAACACCGGCTAAAAAATAAACCGTTATGTGCCTCTGCGGGGTGACCGAACGCTTCGGTCATGTTGATCGGACGCTCCGGTCAGTTCTCCCCGAACTCCAATGTTTAAGTTGTGACCGGACGCGTCCGGTCACGATTTTCCCTCTCTGGAACCTTACTGGAGTCGACCGGACGCTGGGACCCAGCGTCCGATCACTCACCTCTTTAGCGTCCGGTCGCACCAGACGGAATCACCTTGGTCAAATAAACTGACCGGACTCTGCGCCAGCGTCTGGCCAGTATTTGACCCTCCATTCACTTTCAATTCTCGATCATACGTGAATAAAGTTTGCTCCAATGGATCTAAGGGCTTTTTACGAGCTACCTAGCGCTAGTTTTAGCAAGTGTGCACCACACCTAACCCACTAGACTCACCTAGGTCAAGCTACCCATCCATATCCCCCTTAATAGTACGGCCAAAGGAAAAACAAAGTCCTAAACTACTCTAAGTGTCACTTTAACTCCAATCGACACTTAGAACTAGTCCATCCTTAACCTTGTCATCCATCCTTTGAAAACCAAAACGATTTCCATCGTAGGGGCATGACCATCATGAGAGCCCAATCGATCTCCATTACCGTGACCCAACTTAATTGCCTTTACAAAACACACGTTAGTCACAGTAATCACGTATTGTCATTAATCACCGAAACCCAACTAGAGACCTAGATGCTTTCATGGGACCCACGTGGTTTTCCACGTGTGGACGCGCAGATAGGACGGGAAGCAGTGTGGGCGCGGCGATCAGAGTAGAAAGCAGGGCAGGGTCCACACGGTGGGGGGCAAAAACTGGTGGCGCGGTTTCTCGTCTATTAGCACTGACTGCGTCATCCATGTCCGACACGGAGCGTCCGTCCCGACCTTCGGGCACTAGTCGTTCCGAAAAAAGAAAGAAAGAAAAAATCCCCTCCGGTCCTCCCCCTTATCCGCCACCACCAAGCCCAAAACCCAGCACGCCGTCTCACCCCCAAATCCATGGTGCCACCGCACTAAACCCCCCAACTGCCGGTCTGCCCTCCACTCCCTGCGCCTAATGGCGCTCTCCGAGCTCCCACTTCACCACTCCTTCCGCCTCTCGTCCCGCTCCAACATCCACCGCCTCTTCCCGCTTCGCCTCCTCTCCTTCTCCTCCTCCTCGTCTGCCGCCGCCGCGGCCTCGGCCTCCTCCCCTTCCTCCATCGGCGGCAATCGCGCAGCCCCAGCATCGACACGCTATGGCTGGAGAGGTGGGTCCCTCCGACCCCTCTAGTCCCGCCGTAGCTCCCGCTCCCGTCCCATCCCCAACCACGTCCATCAACCGCATCATCCTCGGCCTCGCCTCTGATGACGGCGACCCTTCCGCCTCCGTTAAACCGCATTCTCAATAGAGTTTCATAGAGTTGTTTCTAAAAATGTAGAATGCGAATGCGGTGAAACATGAATGAACAATCATTCTCAATGTATAGTTTTTTTTGTTCCATAGATATTTAATTTATACCTCATCTAGACTTAGAAACCGAGCGAAGAGAGTTTCATCCTCATAAAACTCACGTATTCTCTCTTCTTAAAAATATTGACACATCATAAAAAGTACTTATATATATGATATTAAATGTAGAGGAAACTATTATTGAGACTGGCGTAAGAAGATTTCAGAGTTGCTATCTAGCACTTCTAGGCAGGTCGTTTCCCTGTGCGAATGATTATGGTGGACTGAAACACCATGAGCATGGAAATGGACTGCCTTCACAGGCTCACAGCCACAGCTGAACGGCGAACTGGCAATGTGTTTCCTTCAAAAAAAAAAAAAAAAAAAAAAAAAAAAAAAAACTGGCATGCTTTCCTTTGGGCGGCTTCGCAGTAAAAACCAACAGCTCCGTTGCTGGCTGGCCCTCCCTCTTCAGTCTTCACTTTGCATCACGGCCTACTTTTGACTCTGCAAAGTGCAAAGGGATGGACGACGAGTGGTCGAGGAGATGGTACTGCTTCTTGCTTGCCTAGTGAAGAAACGAACCCCAAGCCCTGACAATGCTGCAAGCTAAGCCATGGCAATATGTCATGATGTCCCACGGTGGTCGTCTGGAATCTGGATGCCTCGTCCTCCAGTGCGCCAAAATTCCTGGTCGCGTTGCATGGATACCTCACCGGCTCCTCCCGACCTCCCGTGGCCAAGCGGCAAAATCTCACTTCCTGACCTCCTTCCGCTCCCACTTCATCGTATGTCGCCGAAAATCCGATTCGACTCTTTACCTTTACCTTTGGAAGCCCCGGCACCTGGCTTCCCTGTTTTTGGGACGTACGTGGACCAGGATGGTCACTCCCAAGTCCCACCAAAACCTGCCTGGGTCTTGCCGTAGGTCAGGTACAGCAAAGCCTAGGGTTAACAGAATCGTGTAGAGAAGGGGCAGCCGTGCAGGAGAGAGAACATAATAAAGAATATTAGAGTCTCAATAGAACCTCTTCTTGATTACTAAATAATCAAATTTCCAACTTAAATTTTACACGATTGGTTAATTTTAATTCTGAAAGATGGGGCACATTTAAATTACTATAACTATAACTCTCGCATACGGTTTTGTTTTTTTATCACCTTTACATTATTATATTATATATCCTTCAAATAAGATCCCTATTACGAATGTTTGGAAAAAAAATTGTGCTAACACAATGCTACCTTACGTTTAAGTCAACATAAGCTGCCACTCGGCCCTTGCATAACTCAATACTATATAACAATTACACAAATTGCTCAATGATTCCTACATAAATTTGCTTCTAGTTAGAATTACAATATAAGTTGACGTGTTGCCTCTACATAAGTTGTCTTCACCCTGAATATAAGCTGCACTCGTTTTTTTTCCCCATTGGTTTGTACCGTACCCTTCTTAAAAATGACCCTTCCAAGTCATAATAAAAGTTAGTGGCAGCTCATTCAGTATAAAATGCAAATTTTACCACTATACAGCAAATTTAGGTAATCAAGCCAGTTGTAGTCGGCTCATCGACGCTCATGATGATAAGTATGAATGGGCGATACTTTAGACCTAACTACTTGGAAGGGTCCTAACATGGAATGCAGGTTCCGAAGAATAAAGCGACAGGACTTTCCCAAACAAGTGAGCGGCCAGGAGGACGATTCCGTGGTTGTGGTACTCTCGGTCTTCAAATCTGATCCTTATTCGGTTATTCCCCGTACGTCGGGTGGTTAACCAAACATCAGTTCGTCCCTTCCTTCCTTCCCATCCGTCCCCTTCTTTCTTTTGATAACAATCTCCATCGGTCCGTTGGTTATATGGCTATATAAACAGGCGGCAACATCAGTCGTATTCCTACCATGTCCACTTGACCATCGACGAGCACGAACACGCTCTGCATTCCACGCAACGGAACGCAAGCAATCCATGGCAGGTCGACGCCCGGCCCTCTACCACCACCTGCCACTCATGCTGCTCGGCGCGTCGGTGATCCTGTTCTCCGCCATCGGCGAGCCGCCTGCTGTCCACGCCGGGTGCGCGCTCGCTGGGCTCATGCTCTGGCTCCTAGGAGTGGCGCGTCTGTTCGCTTGCTCGTAAACGATCATAAATTTCCAGCCAAAAACAGTGGTTTTCTCTCACATCAAACCAGCCAGCAATAAATAATCCACGATACGATACGGTCTCCCAAACAAGCTGAAGACCCGGAGCCGGCCATTTCCCCGGCACCGTGAAATGCTGCGCCTCAGATGAACAGACGGACGTCGTCGGTCCACATCTACTGCCACCGCTGTTTACGCGGAAAACTACTGCTACCGCTGCTCCAGCAGCAGTGCTTTCTGGTTTGCCGACTGTATACTTCTTTATTTATTTACTTGACGCGTGCATATATGACTGAAAATAAATTTAATCAGCTAGATCGCTGGTTGGTGCTGGTGCTGGTTTAGGCTAGCTGGTACTGATTTTTTTAAGAAAAACACTATTGACTAATTAATAAGCCTAGCTAAAACCAACAAGCAAATAGAGTGAATGGCGTGTAGCCTTTGAATTAGAACTCAGAGTGAACAGTACTTTCAGCCATGCCTTATTAGCCAAACAAGCCTAAATGAACTGGACGTATTTTCTGACTGTGACAGCCGATACACACTCATCAGAAGACCTGGTGCTGTTGACACGTCAAAAAAAAAAGTTTAAGGGCAATGTCGTTCAGAGATCGTAGAAGCAGACTGAGCTGCTGGACTAATGATAATTCATAATAACAGTCGATTAATCGTGAAACTAAGCTGCAATTTTCACGAGAATATAAATTCAACAGAAATTTGATGCACGTTGCACACAGACCAAAAAAGCAAACAAAAAAAAAGGAAAAAAAAAAGAGAATGCCCTCCGGTCCTCCCCTTATCCGGCACCACACAGCCCAAAAAAACCCCACACGCACTCTCACCCCAAATCCATGGCGCCACCGCGCTAAACCCCCCAACCGCCGGTCCCGCCGTCCGCTCCTCGGCGCTCCATGGCGCTCTCCGAGCTCCCGCTCCATCACTCCTTCCGCCTCTCGTCCCGCCCCAGCATCCACCGCCTCCTCCCGCTCCGCCTCCTCTCCTCCCCCTCCTCACGCCACGTCTCCTCCTCCTCGTCCGCCGCGGCCGCGGCCTCGGCCTCCTCCCCTTCCTCCACCGGCGGCAATCGCACATCCCCACCCTCCACCAGCACGGGCGCGCCGTGGCTGCAGAAGTGGGCGCCCTCCGACCCCTCCCGTCCCGCCCCACCTCCCGCTCCCGTCCCGTCCCCGACCACGTCCATAGACCGCATCGTCCACCGCCTCCGTAACCTCGGCCTCGCCTCCGACGACGATGACCCCTCCGCTGCCACGGCCGCCGCGGCGCCTCCCGACGGCACCGAGCGCCTCGGCGACCTGCTCGACCGCAGCTGGGCGCGGCCTGACCGCCAGTTCGCGGCCGCCAGCTTCGACGACGCCGTCCTCCCGTGGGAGAGGGACGACGAGCCCACGAGGCCGACGAGGGACGAGGAGGATGGAGCCAAGAGGAGGCGGGTCAAGGCGCCCACGCTGGCCGAGCTCACGATCGAGGACGAGGAGCTGCGCCGGCTGCGCAGGCTGGGGATGATGCTTCGCGACCGCATCACCGTGCCCAAGGCGGGAGTCACCACGGCCGTCATGGAGAAGATCCATGACGCCTGGAGGAAGTCGGAGCTGGTCCGCCTCAAGTTCCATGAGGACCTCGCGCACGACATGAAGACAGCTCATGAGCTCGTTGAGGTTTGCACCATTTTGCCCCTGCCCTCTGACTCTGATCTCAAATTATGTGGCACTTCCAGCTTGTTCGTCAAACGTCAATACTGATTAGTTTAGTGATGCAATAGTGGCAATTCAACCTGCATTGTCCAGTTAATTGCGGTGAATTTGAGTCTCACTCAGAGTATTGGTTGTCTTCCAGAAATGGATTCCTAACACGAGTTTGTGTGCATTGATCAGCGACGCACAGGCGGATTGATCATATGGAGGTCTGGAAGTGTAATGGTGGTTTACCGAGGGAGCAATTACAAGAGGCCTCTGAAATCTCAAACTCTAAATGGTGCCTCATCACCAGTGAAGGGGAAGAAGGTGCATTGTTCATCCCAGATGCCTCCAGCCCTGTTGAGAATGATGTTCAGGGAAAGGATTTGGCTGCATGCAGCATGCAAACATGTCCCAGTTGAACACGCAGAATACTGAGGACATGACAGAGGAAGATCTGGAGTTCAATCAGATGCTTGATGAGCTGGGTCCTCGTTTTGTGGATTGGTGGGGAACGGGTATCTTACCAGTGGATGCTGACTTGCTGCCTCAAACGATCCCTGGTTATAAAACGCCATATAGAGTTCTTCCGACTGGAATGCGTTCGACGCTTACCAACGCAGAGTTGACTAACTTGCGAAAGTTAGCGAGGAACCTTCCATGCCATTTTGCTCTAGGTATTGCTTTTGACAGTGTCAATTTTACTTTTCCCTGTCATAGCTTTTACCAGTTGGCAGGAAAGGCCTTCTTATAGCTTGCTAAATTTCATTGAAGGGAGGAACCGGAATCATCAAGGTTTGGCAGCAGCAATTGTTAAGCTCTGGGAGAAGAGTTTGGTGGTGAAAATTGCTGTCAAACGTGGAATACAGAACACAAATAACAAGATAATGGCTGAAGAAATAAAGGTTTGAATGCCATATTTTTTATTTTTCCTCATTCACTTGGCAACTTTTTTTTTCTGAAGGAATCTTGCAAAAAAAAAGTTAGTGTCAGCTTATAAATTTGTCACAAAGCCCTGAAAATATCATACAAACACACTTGTTTTATCTGAGGCAACTAAAAGTCAAATGCTATTCCAGATTCGCTTAGCAATCTTATATCAAAAGAATCACTCAAAGCAAAAGGTTCCTAAAATAATGGCTATAAATCAGTTTTTGTTCTTATAAATTAGTTTTTTATTAAATATTAGTAAACGGAATTTTGCTTCCTATACTTGCATAGTTTGGTTCCTTTACAGTAAACTCTATCTTCCCAACATTGAAGTTGAGAATGGTTCAGTAAGGTTGCAGTAGAGAATGCTTATTTTGCTTTAGCTTTATATATTCTTCCTATCAGCCTGTTCGTTTCGGCTTATACGATCATGGATTATAAGCTGGAACAGTATTTTTCTCTTTCTCTCACACCAAACCAGCCAGCAGTACTTCTGGCTTATAATCCACGATGCTGAAATTTCTTATAGTTCCAAAATCTTCTCCCTAAAGATACAAATCAAGTGTGTTGATGCACCATATGTGCTTTTGTAGTTCAAGCTTCCTGAAATAGCTTAATATCTTACAATTTTCGTTCTCATGTTACTCAGAATCTAACAGGGGGTACCTTGCTTCTTCGAAATAAATTTTACATTGTAATATATCGTGGAAAAGACTTCCTCCCAACATCTGTGGCAGCTGTGTTGGCTGAAAGAGAGGAGTTGACAAAGGATATTCAGAATATGGAGGAGCAGAGAAGAAACGTTTTGATTGCACAACCTCCGGATGATGGCTTAGATAGGCATGCTCTTGTGGGTACTCTTGCTGAGTTTCAGGAGGCCCAAGCTCGTTGGGGAAGAGAAGTAACTGCTAAGGAGCAAGAAGAAATGAAAGAAGCTTCTTCTAGATCAGAAAAGCAAAAGCTTTACAGGAAACTCGAACACAAGCTTTCCATTGTGAGCACTAAAGATTCTATTTGTTCTTCTTGAACCACCATAGCTTGAAAAGGATAAAAACTAGCTTACATTTAAACTAGGATATTTCAATTTAGTGGTGCATATATAGTTAATATATGTTGTTGTGAGGTTGACTTTCTTACCTTCTTGTTATGCAATTCCTTTTCTGCTTCCTTTAGTTAGTCACTACTTGTTCCTTAATTTTTCTCTTCAAATGTTCAGGCTCAGGCAAAAATACATAGAGCGGAACGCTTACTATCAAAAATTGAAGCTTCTATGGTACTTGCCGATCCATGTGATGATCAAGAAATGATTACAGATGAGGAAAAGTCTGTTTTCCGTAGGATTGGTTTACGGCTTAAGTCATATTTGCCACTTGGTAATTTCTTGAACAATTATCTTCTAACACGCTCCACAGTTTCTATTGACTGATCATTTTCCTTATGTATCTCAGGAGTTCGTGGCGTTTTTGATGGTGTAATTGAAAATATGCACTTGCATTGGAAGCACAGGGAAGTTGTCAAATTAATTTCAAAGCAGAAGACTTTGTCATTCGTTGAAGAGACGGCACGACTTCTTGCATATGAGAGTGGTGGTATACTAGTTGCCATTGAAAGAGTTCCAAAGGGTTATGCACTCATTTTTTACCGTGGAAAGAACTATAGGAGGCCTATTAACATAAGGCCAAGAAACCTCTTAACAAAAGCTAAGGCATTGAAACGTGCAATTGCTATGCAACGTCATGAGGTTAGTTTGCCTTATGAAAGTAGAGTTTTTTATTGAAAATTCTTCTAGGTAACAATAGAATCTTTCTGATTTCCTTTAAACTAATAATTTATTATGCAGGCCCTTAGTCAGCATATAGATCAACTGGAAAGCAATATCAAGCAGACGAAGTTGGATCTGGTATGTAACTTTTCATTAGGATTTTTTTTGGGGGTATTGCACTGTATTATTTCAACAGCATCTGAGTTAATTTCTGGATGCATAGCAATATATATCAGCAAAATTATGGCACTCGTGGTGGTTCCTTTCCTTTTCTTGATGGTATACACACATTACAGTTGTTCCCTCAGCCTTCCTTAATGTCACGGGCCAATACAGCCGTGACGGGCTATGGAGGTGTCGGGCCTAAAACAGGCCAATTGGGCCCAGCATGAACAGTACCGCGATGGTACTGTAGCGTGCTGCTAAGCCCGTCTGGGTTTAGGATTAGGAAGAGTCTAGAAGCTAAGGGGAGATGTTCCCTTTGATATTAAGCAAGAATAATTCAAGGTAAAACCCTAATTATCTCTCCCCCCCTCTCTACTACAGCTGTTGCGCCCACGCCGCCTCCTGCGTGCGCCGCCGTCCACCACGTGCCGGGCCGGCCGCTGTCCCTGTCCCCTCCCTTTTCTTAGGAACAGTTTGCATTCTCAAGCAATTACTCCCTTTAATCCCTCTTTTCTGTCCTCAATTCTGCTCCCGAATTCCCCTGGAATTTCCGTACCATGTTGACTTCTGCACGCCAGACCGGCAGCGGCACCCTGCTGCCGCTGTACTTCCCCTCCTTTTGGTGCGGCCAGCCCTAGGGCAGTCGTCCTTCCTCCCTAATTTCCCTCAGATTCCCCTAATTTACCCTCTAATCAAAGGGAAATCAACCCCCCAGATCAGACGTGTGACACTTCATCCCTTTATTTCATCGATCGATATTTAGTAATTGCCATTTAGGCAGTCCCTTGGGACTTTCATACTAGATTCAACAGAGGTGTGCCAGATAAATGTAGTTGCGCTAGTGAATAACTAATGTGATGTAAACAGAGGTGTGCCAGATAAATGTAGTTGCGCTAATAAATAACTGTGATGTAAAACAAAACAGGGTATTGAGGACTATGAGGAACAAGATGATGATAGCTCAGATTCAGAAAATGAATATGGCATGGCAGTCACCTCTGGTAGCCATGATGAGGTATGCATTTTTTTCCCAAACTGTATGCTGTCTGTTTCTGAACCCACTACTCATCCTTCCTTAGTTGTTGGCTTGTCGTCAGGATCAAGATGATTTTGATGAATCAGCTGATGAAGATGATTACGATGACAACATTGAAGATGAGGAGATTGACAAATATTGACTTCGAATTGTTTGTAGTTCTGAATTGATGATTCTTTGGACGTGATACTACTTTCTCTGGGACATTCATGGTACGAGAAAACAAAATTGCTTTTTCGGTTCACTAGTTCTTTTTTTTTTGTCTTTATATAGCATTGGCGCATCGCAAAATAATATTATGTAGAAAGTGTCACTCATGCTGTTTATTTCTATATGTTGGGCATTATTAATCAAATTCAAGGGCAATATGTAGTAACAAGTCTCATTTATTTAGAGGTAAGATCTATGTAATTGGATGGACGTTGTTGCTGGTTTTTTTATAGAATATATGAGTATCAATTCTCAAATAACCCCAATCTCAGAAATACCTTGTATAAATGTTATGATCTTCCAAACTGTTAGACCTTTGTTTTTCATTGAGCCTAACAGAGGTGGCATATTTTAAATCTTTTCTTGTGGTTTCTTTTTCTGTTGTGTAAATAGATTATATTTCAAATCACTTGCTCTGGATTGACCTATTGCAGAACACAAGTTTGCCGATGGACCTTCATGACCGGTACAACATCTATTATGCCTGTGCTCCGTTCGTTCTTGGAATTTGGCCTAGAAGTGTTGGTGCCAATCTGGGAAATTTGTTGAACGATGCAATTTCGAGATCACCCTGCATGCTTACAGCATCCTCTTCTTTTCTTTTAGTTTTGCGTTCCCATTTTGTGACTATAACTTAGAGGGCTTAGGAGGTGTTTTCTTTTACCCATTCTGCTCCAGATTATATACCTGGACGCGAGCATTGTGTAAATCATTCCAGGCCAAATACTGAAATACATCATAATAAGATAAATTTGGCCAACAAGTAAAGGATGTCCCACTGTTCAAACTTTTCTCTTCTACTCTATGATAAATATTGGGGTGAGTCCAATTTCTCTTCTTCTCGACGGACTTCGACAGACATCCAATTGGCGGCAACCAGCCAATCAGCTAGAGTATTTGTTAACCTCAAGGTTTCGAAGTTCCAACAGTCCTATCTCGTGAAGGACAATGGAGGGACGAATGAATATTGGAAAGCTTGGCTCCTCCGATTAATATGCCCCCAAAAGACCATTATGCAACTGGGCTACTGGCTGAGTCGCTGATATTAGCAACCACGTAGGAGCAGCGGCTGAGAGAAACGGGGATAGAGCACCCGGTGTGGCGTGATGGCGCGCCGTGCTGTCTACTCTGCTAATGCATGCAGCACGACACGGCGCGGGACAGCGAGAGTGCAGGAGCGGGACAGTGCAGCGCAGGAACGGAAATGATCCAACTCGGACGTCGGTCCGTCACTCCTGTCCGAACGCAGCTTCCAGGAGCAGGCCTTAAACAAAAAAAAACTCCACTCCCTCTGTTTATCCATCCGTCCACCTCTGACTCCTTCGTGCTTATCCGATAGGCCCCAAAGCAGAATGACCGCTCATTGTCCGCGCCCCTTCCCCCACCGCGCTCTCGTTCGCTGCCGCGTTGCGCCCCATCGCCGGCCACGCCCCGTGCTCGTCCGCTGTCGCGTCGTGCCCCATTGCCCCGCGCCCCATCCCGGCCACGCCACGTGCCCATCCCAAACACCTGTGCCGCTCGCTCCCTCGTCGTTCGTCCGTCTCCCATCGCCGTCGCGCACGTCGCTAACCTCGCCATGGCCTCTGGGACGCATGTGCCGTGCCGCGTCAAGTCTTCCTCGGCCGAGCCAAGGGCACCCACGAGCGCGGGCGGTGCTGGTGGTGCTCGTGTGCCGCGGTTCGCCGCCGGCTCTGATCCCGACGGCCGGAATCGACCAGCCTGGCCTTCCCCTCCCATATGTTGCATATGTATGTTTCGAGTGTTTCAGAGGTATGTTACAATTGTTTCATCTTGATGTTGCAAAAGCAGACCGAGGATGTTGTACATGTTGCATATGTTTTCAGAGACATGTTGCAAGTGTTTGTTCAAAATGTTTCATCCATTTTCAAACGTATGTTGCAATCGTTTTTTATCTGGATGTTGCATATGTTGCAACAGTATGTTTCCAAATGTTTCAGTTGTTTCAGTCTTATGCTGCAGCAAGTGATTTAATGTTGCAAGTTATAAGTGTTTTTATTTCGGATGTTTCATATGTTTCACACACATGTTCAAAAGCATGTTTCCAAATGTTTTATATGTTTTCAGTCTTATGTTGCATTCATGTTGCAAGTGTTTTATGTTGTTGGTTAGGCGAGCCGGGGCCGATTTGACGGGCATGCATCTTGTGGTGGCGGGGGCGGGTCGGGCACGCTGGGGCGTGTTTCGTCCTCAGCTTGCTCATCATGGCTCCCTGAGTGCCACCCGTGGAGAGAGAGGAGGGGTCAGGGGCAACTGGTGGACACAGAAGGGGGCGGAATGCGCGCGTGGGGCGGAGCAAAGTCGGACGGAGTCGGGGTCGGGGGCAAAGGCGGACAGGGATGGGCTGCGGTGGGCCTCTGAGTGGGAGCTAGACCATGATTCGGTTCACTGGGACTTGGTGCCGACGCTAGTGCCTGCGGCGCAGGAATCGTCAGGATCGTGAGTTCGTCAGCCTCTCTCTGCCCTTTGCGCATGGAGTTGGCTGCCTCAACTCCACCCAGGCCCATGTGCCACGAAACCGTTGTTGGGCCCAATGCAAGATGGAGCTTTCCTTCCATTCTGCGTGTCTTTTGGCCCATGTACGCGGGTGTCTTTTGGCCCATTAGCCATTGCTACCTACGACCTGATAGCGCGAGCTAAGGTGATAAATTCCAGCAGTGCCTAAAGACTTGCAGAAACGGCCCTTTTATATGAAATAAAATTTATTTCGGTCCCCTACATAAGCTATGCACCCAACCAGTCATCACTGTAGTCCTAGCTTCGGGTAGATTAGGAAAAAGCTCGCATAAACAAAGCGACAAAAGCTTAATTTAATTAATTTGTAGAAAAACAAAGGCGCAAACAAGCATCCTTCCTATTACAAACACCTCTGGCTTTTGCTAGTACGGAGTACATGGTTTTCTGTTCAAACATCCCTTTAATTTAGGACATCGTACTCGCCATTACTGGAAGGAAGGGAACCCCACATGTACGTATTGTAGTTGTGGCTGAACCGCACGGGGGCAAGTGTAATACACCTGGTGTTAAGCATCAATAAAACTTGGTCATGTCATCATCATGCATTATAAATATACATGGTTGTTAATCAAGCTTTGCATTTAATAAAATCAATGTTTTATTGCTAGCAATGCAATGCATGTGTGATGTAATGTGCTTATAACCAAAAACCTTTTTAAGGTACTTTGTGACCTTCTATTTTTGAGTTTCATCTAAATACTTGAATTTATGCCCTAATACACTTTGAGGTGTAAGGTATGTACTTTTACACTAGTGTCAAGTGTAGTGTATGAATTCAAGTCCGTGTCAAGTGTAGTGTATGAATTCAAGTCCAACTTATTAAAATTTGAGCTCGAATGTTAATTCAAAATGTGATTTCAATACTTAACCATTTTTTGGCTAAGTTGTGGATTTCAACATTTAAGTTCCATTTTGAGGAATTTATTAAAATGAACTTCTCAAATAAACTTGCTTCAACCATTGTATCATTGATTGGTACAATGTTTGTGCTAACCAATGGTGATATTGGTTGATAAGTTTGTTAGTTAATTAATCACTAATTAATTCCCTAAGTTAGATAAATCAAATCAATTTTCCAAACCCTAACTGTTTAAGTTCTGAAATCCAGAGATCAGTTTCAATATCTCTCTGTTCTTGGTTCTTGATCTTGCAAACCAGTGAGATTTTGATGTTAGTGCTTGAAGCAAAGTTGAACATCAAAGTATGGGGAATAAAACTTTTATTTTTCGATATTTTCAAGTTTTCATTTGGAATCTGGAGAAAAAGTAGGAAGATGATTGAGCTTCAGGTTGCTACAGTACTACGCCGACAGCAGGGAGTCAGCTTGCTCACCGCCGATGGCCGCCGTGACCGTTTTCGCTGCTCCTTCGTGCACGGGCACGCAGCTGCTTCCCTGGCCACGTCGCCAGCAGGAGCTGTACGTCCAGAAGCCGTGTCGTCGTCCTTCAGTCGCCAAGCCAGCCGACGTTCCTTCTTTCTCTCTTTCCAGCGCCGCCGTCGAGCACTCGATTCACCGGCCAACATCTCCGCCATCGCCTCACCTCTGTCCAATTCGCCACGCCCCTAGCTTCGACACTGCGTTGAGTATCTTCCCAGCCTTCTGGCGTCAGCTCTACCCGTCTAAGCTGCCCGCACGACGCCGTCTTCCTCATCGCCGAGCAGCGCACCGCCGTGACCGCGTCCACCGTGGTCAGGCCACTCTGGTGACCCTATCATCGATACGTTTCGCGTACCAGCCCCACCTTGTTTCCATTTTTCTCATCGGCTCGTTGGTTTTAACTGTAGGGTCCAGACGCGTCGGAACGTCGCCGTCTTCATCTGTTCACGTCACCGGAGCCGCCATCACCGTCGACAGCGCCGCCTGCTCCGTCTCTGATTCGACTGTAAGGACGCGCAAGTCACGGAGATCACCTTGGACGTGTATAAGTCCTTATATAGGCCGATTAGAGCCGGGCTTGGCCGGAGCGCCGCCGCGCCGGCGTGCTCTGCTCCGCCGGCCGCCATGGCCGCGGGTGAGCTCGTCCCAAGTCCTAATCCGTACAACCAACCCCTTAGGTGGATTCGTGAGGTCTAGGCGAGTGCTTAGGAGAAAATCCCATCACCGGAGTCATCACCGCCGACCGTTGCCGCCTCGTCGGAACGCCGCCGTGCCGCCGGAATCGCCGTCGTGGGTGCCGCCATGCTCCTAGGGTTAGCGCCACCAGTAGATGCGCCAGAGAGAGGGAGCGCCGGGGTAGCTCTCATCGCCGGCGAGCTCGCCGCCGGCGAGAACCGCCGGTCAAACGGCGCCTGAGACGTGGTCAGCGCGGGCGCGTCCCCGGCCTCGCTGTCAGTGAGAGGGGGGTAAAATGAGGGCAAGTGAGAAAAGGTTTTATCCTTTTTCGATTTTCAGAAAAT